TAATTCAATGCTGTCATTTATATATGTCATTATTGGAACACTTAAAAATAAGAATATTATCTTGAGACAAGTCAAAGCCTGATCACAAAATAAGGTGTGTTTAAATTTTTAAAAAATGATTACAGTAAAGACACATTGCCATTGATTCCCCTCAAAATATTTCCCTTTGCTTCAAACACTTATCCCATTGTTCTCGCCACTTTCTGAAGCATTTCTGAAAGACCTCTTTCCTGAATGTCCTTACAAAGTGTAACTAAAAAAAATATAGTGCATGGACTGCCCATTGCCATCCAAAAGAAAGGTAGAGTAATAAGAACATCATGATTTTCCTTCATCCACCTTATTTACCTAATCTGGTACCATGTGATTTCTACGTCTTCCCCAAAGTCAAAATGGCCATGAAAAGTAAATATTTTGAATGGATTCAGGATACCAAGGCAGCCATGAGCACACAAAGAATGAAACTTAAGAAATAAGAGTTCCAGAACTGCTTCCAAAATAATAAAAATGATGAGTTAAGTGTGTTAGAAGTGAGAAGGAATATTTTGGAAGAGACCAATGGTCATGTGTCTTTTACTGTACTAATTTTTAAAAAATTTAACATTCGTTATATTTGCCAATCATACCATGTATTTTCCCTATCAACCTTTTTATCTCTCCAGGTCAGCTTTGAATACCTAAGGGTGCTGTTTCTCAAAATCTAGTAACTGGAACCCTGCATCATCACTTCTCTTAGAATCATTGCCATATATATAAATATATATGATATACATTATATATAATATATAATATATGACTTATAACTAATATATTTTACATATATAATATATTATACACACATACAAAGGGGGAAACACCACAAATTAACTCATAGAACTGAACTAAGGATTCAATGAAATAATATATGTCAAATACATAATCCAGGAACACAACTACTGCTCAGCAGGTGCCAACATGTGTATTAATGCTCTTAATTTATTATTAGTAGTACTATCATAGAATAACCTGACATGCTCATAAACCACTAGTGATTTCTGGACTCAAACCCAGACATTCTTTTTTTTTATTCATTAAGTTTATTGGTACTTTTTACATATGTAGTACAGTTAAATTCATCATTGGGATCTTGTACCTTTACATGATTTATCTTGGTTCTAATTTTTTCCCCATATCCCTGCTCTCCCTTTCACACCCTCCACCCTTCTCTATTTACAAAGATTTTGTTTCAATTTTTTTCCTTTTCTCATGTTTTTTCTTTCCTGTATTTCCTTTCTCCTGCCCTTCCCACTTTCCCTACTGCTTTAGCCCTTTCCTTCCTATTTCAATTGTCAGTTTTACAATTTGAACTTTACTTACACTTTTAGTTTTTCACACCAGAGAAACTGTTCAGTATTTACATGTTTCCTATTTATTTCACTTGAGAGTATAGCCTCAATGTGCATCCATTTAGCTATAAAAGTCTCTAGTTCTCATTCTTTATGGCTGAGTAGTACTCCATTTTATAGAAAAATGACATTTTCTTTATCCAGTCTCCAGTTGATGGGAAATTTGGCTGTTTCCAAGTTTTAGCTATTACATGCTGTGCCTCTATAAACACAGGTATACATTTATTGTTGTGGTATGATTCTTTTATTCTTTTGGAAAGGTGCCCAGCACAGGGATAGCTGGGTCAAATGGGACCTCTAATCCTAGTTCTTTGAAATATCTCCATATTGATTTCCACAACGGTTGCACTCCGACCAACAATAACGAAGGTTTCCTTTCTCCCCACAACCCCACCAGCATTTTTTATTGCTTAAATTCTTGATAGCAGCCATTTTTTCTGGGTTGAGGTGGATCTTGGTGTTGTTTTCATCTGCATCTCTTGAATAACCAGTGATTGTGAATATTTTTTCATATATTTATTTGCTGCTTTTACTTGTTTGAGAAATGTCTGTTCATTTCAGATGTCCATTTTTTTAATTGGATCTTTCTTTATATTTCGGGATCTGATTTTTTTTTTTTTGTAGGTCTTTACATTCTAGATAGTAGACCTTTTCCTGAGGAATAGCTGGTAAATTTTTTTTTCCCACATTGTAGGTTGTATCTTAGCTCTGTTGGTAGTTTCTCTTGCAGTGCAGAAGCTTTCTAATAAGGTGAGATCCCAGTTGTTGATACTTTGTGCTAGTTCCTTTGCTACTGAGGATTTGTTCATAAAGTCTTTTCCTGTGTCTTTGAGAGTTCTAGCCAACTTATCTTTCAGTAAGTTTAGAGTTTCTGTTTTAATATTTAGATCTTTAATCTACTTCAATTTTAGTTTAGTGCATAGTGGAAGATATGTCTAGTTTTAATCTTTGGCAAGTTGAAATCCTGTTTTTCCAAAACAGTTTATTGAAGAGGCTATCTTTTCTCCAGTGAGGGTGGTTGGCTCCTTTGTCAAAGATGAGGTAGGTGAGTACATCTGGAGTTGTTCCTACATCTTCTAAACTATTCCACTGATCTTTGAGTGTATTTCTTTTCTAGTACCATGATGTTTTTATCACAGTGGCTTTGTAGTATAGTTTCAAGTTGGGGATTGTGATACCCCCTGCCATCTCTTTGTTGCTGAGAATTGTTTTTGCTATTCTAAGTCTTTTCAATCCCAGATGTTCTGAAGCTGAATCACTTGGCTGGTCACAAAACCCTACCTACTAACTAGCAATTTTGGTGATTCTTTTTGCATACTCAAATTTGAGAACTACTATTTGCGGATAGGGCTGTCTTCTGATTTGCTCCTTGGTGTATGTACAGGGGTCTGCACAAAACACATGTTGATTAATATGCAACAGTGCCAGACTACATGTCTAAAGCAGTATGGAATGTGCTACAGATTTGTGTAGCAGAAAATAAAGATAGATTTTTACATTTGACTCCAGCAAAGTATCAAGGTAGTATGAAAAGTAAATTCAATATCAATCAAAATTTTTGTCCCCTTTTATACACAGCTAAGTTTGACTGTGTAATTTCCATGTAAATTACTAATACTACAAAATTTTCCCCCTTAAAATAATTCAGTCTATTTGGGATTTTACTGCTTCTTTTTTCACTTTAGAGAAACAAGAAAGCCTAGACATCTGCTCATAGAGAAGGTAAGTAACCTTATTCTTCAGGCTCCACAGTATTAACATTAATCCTTGAATTAGGTTTCAATAACCACTTTCTTTCTTACATCTGTGTTCATTTTAAGGAAAGTTCCAGCAATTTTTCTATAAAAGAAACTACAAATGAAATGCCTTCAGCCATTTAATTCATACAGAAATTTAAATCAAGTCACAGTAGCTAGTCAAACTTTTTGGCTATAAAAGTTAGCCAACTTGCTGTGCCGAGTAGAATATTTTAATGTGAAAAGAAATCTCATGTTTGACGGCATCTAAAGTACAGAAGTATCAACACTTGACCAAAGATAAAACTTAGGAATTATTTCCAGCTTAGTTTTGTTTCATTTTACTAAGTAACACAAAGATTAAAAAATAAAACCTAGATATCTCAAAAGTGCAAGGTGTTTATGAACTAAATTTTGCTTGGTGAATATATTTGTTTGAACATTGTACTGTGAAAAATAAATTGATATGATTCAGTTACAAATTTTCAATTACAATTGGCTATTATGTAAATCTTATTTCTATAAATCAGTTGAAGAGGTCTAGTAAGACTTTATGACACATTTGTTTTATGTGCCAAATATAAGCATCATTGGGATTAGACATGAAGAACTTGACCTCCAGACCACCAGATGGACTTTTTATTTTCCAGCCAATAATTTGCTCTTTTATAATCAAATGCCCTTGACTTTAAGATGGCACAATTAACCTTTAGGATCAGTCTTAAGTGTAGCGAGACCTCTCTTCTTTTGATCTCTCTGGAATGGTTTCTTTTTCTTTCTTTCTTTCTTTCTTTCTTTCTTTCTTTCTTTCTTTCTTTCTTTCTTTTTTTTTTTCTTTTTAGCAGTGATGCTAAATTTTCAGTTTGCTAGCAGTGGAAATTATGCTGTAAGCAAAAGTCTCAGCAAGACAGAGATTCCTACAAAATACTGTAGTCTTTATTTTTCCAAAGGATACTGGCTACTCTTATGAGATCCATTTCCAAGAACAACTTCACTGAAGCAAAAGTTCCAAGTACTGCAACTGAAATCACAAAGCACACAGATTGAAACTTCTCTTCTACCTCTGTCTATGAGTAATCTGACCCCAGCTTCCCTAATTTATCTCCAATCCAGGCTGAATTTGGACATTGAAGTCAGTTACAGTCACCTATATTCTGATAGGATAGAGTAAAAATATGAACATGTGTGAATAACTTCAATAGAAGATTTAGCTTTTTAGCAAAGTGATGACAATATTAAAAACATTTCTCTTAAGCATCCGGATAATCTGAGTTTGGCCAGTTGCTCAAAACATCTCCAGACAGAAGAGGAGCAGTAAACTTCAGATGAAATCTTACGCATTACCACTGAATTTCCCTGCACTTTTGAGAACTGTCTCACTTATGATGTCTGCCCTCATTCACAATACAGTAAGAGAAAATTACCCATCAAAGACCCAAGCAGTGTCGTACATACATACAATGCTGACATTTTACGTTACTTTCTATCAGTGTTCATGGCCTCTTTCTTTCTGAGATGAACCGGGGCTTTGGTCATCTAATTTTAGAGGCAAGAACAACTCAAGAGTGGTAAAAAAGCGACCCGTGAAAGAAAATCTGAGCATATTCTGGAATCAGAGTAGATTTGGAATCTGAGATTTCTGGAGCTCTCTGGTTGGTGAATGAGGGCCTGACCTCATTCGGAAGCCCACAGCTGGCTCTGAGCATAAAGCAAAACGAGATGAGTAGACTACTTTGTCATTAACAGGGCATTCATTTTAACAACCCAGCACTATACATCATTCATTCATTCGCCATAGTTTCTTTTACTCCCTGGAAATAGAAGCTGGGTTGTAATTAAAAGATTTCTTCAAGGCATAAATTTAAGAAGTAACACTTACTTTCCAGTAATAAACTGACTCCTGGACGGTGTGCAAATGGGCTGAACATAGTAGTTCTCCAGTTTAACTCCTTCGGCAGCGAGCTTATCCAGAGTGGGCGTCCTTATCTCAGAACCGTGGTAGCCCACATCTCTAAATCCCTGATCATCAGCTAGGATGAAGATAAGATGAGGCTGCGAGGGCCCGGGTCTTTCCGCAACTAGAGCTCGCCAGGACCCGTCCTCCTTCTCTAAGCGCTGGCTCCAGGACAGGTAGCCATAGGCGAAAAGGCTCAGGACCCAGAATCCTGTCAGGGCAGCCATAGCTACCACTCTTCCAGACCAGCTCCGGGCCTGCGCAGGAGGCGGAGGCGGTGGCCCGGCGCAGCCCTGGGCGTCCATACACTCGGATCCCGGCTGAGGCCAGGCGAGCAGAGTCCTGCACCCCGCGCCACGGCTGGTGCGTACATGCAAGCGGAGAAGTGACCCCACAGCTAGGTCTGCGCTGCTGGGAAAGCAAGCCTAGCTGGCCCGGCCGTCACCAAGTCCCCAAGACCATGACCTTCTAGACTAGACGCTTAAACCTCTGGCCAGCGGGAAACTAAGAGAGGCGGCTCTCCTTCCTCCGATTTCACTTTGCCCTTCTCGCTCCCCAGAGCCGCTTCTGTACACCCGCAAAAAAGTTAGTCTCTCCACTCAAAAGTTCTCAAGAGAAATAAAAAGCAAGCACGGATCCACAGTCTCAGGGGGCGGGAGCTTTGGTGCCACAGCGCGTTCAGTGCTGGAGCCCGGCTGTCCTGGGCGCGCGGGGGCGGTGCACAGCGGTCCTGTTCGGTCGGATCACCTCCTCCACGTTTCCCGGACTCCCTTGGGGTCCAGGTCTTCTAGGAGTTCGCCAACTCCCATACACTCTCCAGGGCGCCAAAGGAGCAAAAAGAGTTTCCTAATCGTTCCCTCCCCACTAAACACTCCTCTTCTGTAGACCCGATTGTGATCCCTCTTCCAGGCAGCTGGGACGCTTGGGGACGCAGCCGGGTCCCCGGCCCGGAGGGTGTCGTAGGTCCAGAGCTCTTCGTTCCGAGAGCCCCGCCTAGGCGAGGCACCGGAGCCCCTCTGCTTCTAACTTAGCTCTGGTCCCGCAATCTTCGCCTCCTCCCTCTACACTCGCGGGTGAATCACAGCGCGGTGCTTTCTATTACAACTCCCCCAGGAAGAGGGCAGGGCGCTGGGCCGGTTCAGGAATCAGCGTTCTCTTGCTTTTCCGGGTGGAGGCTGGACCGAGGGAGACTGTGCCACCCGGAGGATCGAGCGCTGCCAAAGGGTCGCCACATCGAGGAGGTCAGCGCTGCTCCAGCCCGGCCGGGGGGCGTCGCGGGTCTGGTGTCGAAGCGTTCTCTCGCCCATTTCGAAACTTTTCCTCGCTTCAGGCGGGCAGTGAAAGAGGAAGAACAGGAGAACCGAGAAATTGCACAGCATACTTTTACCTTCTTCCTCTTCTGCCCGCCTCCCCTTTTCCTACTGTTTTTCTACCCGCCTCTTTTTTTTTTTTTTTTTTTTTTTTTTTTTTTTTTTTTTTTCTATTTTTTTGTAACCCTCACAACTGCTGACTTCTCCCAACACCTAACCTTTACAGCCTGATTTACTCACTAGCTTCTTCCTAAAGGAAGACTTTTAAACCTCCTGCTTCTGTTTTCCTCTCTCCAGCCTTAGGCACAGGAGTCTCCAAGCCAAGAACTCCAAGAAAAAGTCACACTTGGCCCTCAAGAACCGTGGAGTGGACTGCATTCCTGCAGTGGAAACCAACCAACAAACAAACCTCCTCTTCCTAGCCAGTAATTTGGGGAACCCCATCTTTTGTTTTCCTTCCCTCCCTTCCTTCCTTCTCCCCCTCCCCCCTGTCTTTTTCTTCTCTCCCTCCCTTGATTTTTTTGTCCCTTCCTTCTTCCCTTCTTTTCCCTCCTTTCCTGACTCCTCTCCCCCTCCATCTAATAAAACCATCCTGAAAGCTTGTTGATTGAGAAGATCCACTTGTTTTTACTAGAACTCTACAGTTAGAATTTTAAAGCACCATTCAAGGGCAAGATGAGGATTAACGACATCTATAGAAGACTAATCAATGCTAGGACTCACTGAGACATGCTGTTCTTCTCTTCAAATTTTTCAAGTTATCCAACAACTACCACATAACATGTGAGACTCTTTCAATAGTCAGAAGCATAAAGGTATAATTGAGCCATTACTTTTAATTCTCTCTCAGTGCTAAAATGCCTGTTGAGTTCCTAGGCAAACTTTATGCACTGGAAGCTTCGCTTTGGAAGACATGATGGTGCTCTGAAGGATTCCTTTTGCTAACACATGTGACTATTTTGTTCTGTGCTTTTCCCTCAAGCATTCTGGTTGGTAGGAGGAGACATGATAAGTTTTAGACATATTTGGAAATGTGAGTTTGTCGATTTTTGTCAGTTTAAACTTCTAAATATAAGAGAGCACTGAACATTTGGGAATTGAAGAGTACTGAGAGGTGGGGTGTCAGGCTTGGGCCCAGTGAGGTGCTTAAGGAGAAAACACACATCCCAATCAATCTAGCTACTTTTAGCATTTTTCATTGTAGCACTGGAGTTTGAGCATGGTAGGCAAGAGTTTTACTGTCCTCATGAAGTCTCAGTTAAAGTTCCTCTAATTTAGCAGTACACAAATCAACATTTTGGTGTGTAGGATCTCACTTTAGGTTTATTTGAGCTTAGATCACTCACATTGAAAACAAATTCTTCTTTTCTGGAATGGTAATATAAAAAAATAAAGGAAATATTTGATTCAGAAAAAAATAGAATTGTCTAGAGAGGAAATTGGTGGGGTCTTGGTCCATAATGAGGCTTAATTTGGAGGTGAGACTGAAAGTTTACTCCTTAAAATATATTTACCATTTGGGAAGAAATTAGAGGATGGACATTTCACATAAAAGAAGAGAAGACTAGCAGAAGACATGTTTGGAATGGAGGAGTGTGGGGAAAATATTAGGAAGTTTGGGTAAAATTAGATATTGAAGAAATTTGAAAAAGCAGAAAGATCTGGAAGATTCTGGGGACATTAGAAGTGATGAAGCCCTATGAGTAGGAGGTAACATACAATATTTCAGTGAGGTCATTTCTGAGACAGATATATAGGCATAGATACCATAAATGGGCTGCTTCAGTCCATCAAAGTTTGAAGAGTTGTTCTTTTACTTGGGACTGAACCTAAGGCAGTATTTTGATTGAAACAAAGACCTAATGAAAATATAGAATAAGATATTCCAGGGCATTTTCAAGGAGAGGGTTGAGGGAGTAAAGACTAAAATCACACAGTTCCTCATGTTGAAATTTGCACAGCAATATATTCTTCAACTTAAAAGGACTATGCGTTATTTTACCTGACTGAAGAGGGCATACATGAAAACCTCAAAAACAATTAAGAGGAAGAACGAGACCAAAAGAAAAAAGGACCCAAAGTGGCCTTGTTTGACTGGATAGCAGAAAAGGAAAAAGTAGGGTAATTTGGGCAAGTGGTTACCACCAGAAAACAAGATCTGAAAAAAGTACCACATGGTACACTGAGGCTTCCCCGGGGTCAAATCTAAGTGCCTAGTGGTGGAGAGTAGAGTGAAAAAGTGTGTATGAGGAGCCCATCAGCAAACAGAAAAGCTGAGAAGATCATAGACAAGTAGTTAAATGCATAGTTGAACAATATTTCTTTGAAACATCCATGTTAAATCTCACCATCAAAATGACATTTCTCATAGCTCTCCAGTACCCATGGATGAAATTGCCTTATCTTACAAAATGTCTACCTAAAAGTATTTTTAAGGAAGGCCTGGTAAGACATTATGTCTGCTAAACTATTCCTCTTTTTTCTCTGGGCATTTATTTTTAACTAAACAGGTACTTATATGTTTAAAAGAGAGAGCAGATTTATAAATGTAGTTTTGAGAAAAAGAAAAAAAAATTCAGGATTTACAGATACTCAAAAGATTTTAAACTTAAATGTTACTTGGTTTATAAGTACATTAACTACTTAAAATTAAAGAATGTTACCAAGTTTCAATTAATGCACATCTAAAATGGATATATGCTCTATTATGGTCATTGTGACATGGACCTCATGTAATAAACTCTTTACTAGGCCATGGAAATAATCTGCTACCTTGAGCCATTAAATAATTGTAAGCAACCTGAGCTTTCTAGATCAGATCAAGTAGGATGATTTTTCAGTTGTTAGGTTTCAGTAACTTCCTATTTTGGGGAAAGTTTGTTGGATACAAACAGTAATAATTTATAAAGAAAAGCATGATATAGGAGACACTATGTTTTTACTCCTATATATAGAGTTATCTAAAGTATAAGTTTTTGACATTAGAAACTCAGAAAATTTGAACTGTTCAAGAAAATTCCTTTCATTCAACAAATATCTTTAGCTGAAAGCTAAATTTTTTCCCCAACACAGGGAAAAATCTTGGGCCTTTGCGTTTCCAGGCAGTGGAACCACTAAGCTAAATCCCCGGGCCCTGAAAACTAACTTTTAAACAGCAAATTTCTAGTGAGAAAGTCTAATAATCTATATAATCTATTTCCATTGCTTAAATTATAAATAAAATCCTATACCATTTACATAGCAAACTTCAGTTTAGAAAAATCAATTTCTTTCTTTCTTTCTTTTGTTTTTGGTACCAGGGATCGAATAGAAAAATCAACTTCTTAGTCTGACTGTCCATCAAAATTCCTCAGAGATTTTTATTTTCAGGAAAGTCCCAGCTGCATTCAAGATGTCAAGCAGTATAGCCAGAGTCCAGGAATATTTAAGTTACAAAAAAGTTTCCAGATGATTCTGACATGTTGAAGTTTTAAAATGATTGCTTTAAAATCTAAAGCAACAAGAAACGTTGAATGGATTGTTTAAAGTTTAGGGTTGGTGCCATTCACTATGTACAATATGGTAAATATAGCTGGAAAATGAATGAGCCTAGAATTTGTTAAAGGCAGGCTTAGTGAGGCATCGTGACTATCACACCATTCTTCTCAGATGATTGCAGAACAAAATATGAACATGTCACCATGTCCAAAAGAGAAAAGAAGCACCCTGAACCATATCCAGTGGAAGGAAGGTGAAAGGTAGAGGTCTGGGACAGCTGCTTGAAGCCCCATTCTCCTTCCTGCCTGCCTGGGCCCAATCAGTGAGGAATAGCGACCCACCCATCCTTCCCCCTCCCCCACTCTCAGGCCTCCTGATTGTCCCAGTCCTTGGATCCACTCTGTAGAAGCACAGGTGGTCATGAAGGGCATTTTTCCAAGCTCCCAACTTTGAACATCTTTAAAGAAGTGGCAGAATAGTAGAACTTTGTGGAGTTCAACCCTGAAGGAGGTCAGGGAGCTCAATTTGGGCCTTGCAGCCCCAAATCAGCCTGAATCTAATGGTTCTGCCATCGGCTAGCTGAAATCAAGGACTTAGTTCTACACATGGCTGCACATATTGTTTATTATGACAGCAGATCGATAGTCTGAAAGAGCCCCTTCAAATTCTTTTTTTTTCTTTCTTTTCCTCATTTCACTCTACAAATTCTTTTTCTGTCCTCTTTTTCCAACTCAGTCTCTTGCTCCACCATATTATTCATCATCTCCCTTTCTGTTCCTGTTCCTGCCCTAACTCGGATTTCTTCTTCTATCATTTTTTTCTATTTTCTTTTCTTTTTTCTTTATGTTCTTTTCTTTTCTCATTTTACCTTACTCAAGGGTCAATACTTTCCTGTTAAGTGGTTATATTCTTGTCCTTATTCTTGTACTCTCTCTATCACTTTTGAATTTAACAGTTTCCTAAAATTATATGGTCATTCTATGTCTTCTGGCTTCACTTGAAACCTTTAATTCTTTTACTTATCTACTCCTCTCGTCCTACCTCTACCTGAGCCCCCTACCTAAATGGTAAATATGTTATATTGAATTGTTTATGCACTACAAACATATTTCGGGCTGCTTCTTGATTTTAATTTAATTCACATGGTTTAAAGGTGATTAATTAGTGACTACCACAAGTGGTCAATTTGTAAGTTGTGCTTGATCCTATTGTGTTGCTGATAGTATCGATTGGGCTAAAGGATTGTGATTGATTTAATGAGTGTCTTCTCTTATATTAATAAAATGAGAATGTCTATGAGTCATTAGAAACTCAAAAGCTAAAGCACAACTATATCAGGAATATTTAAGTAACAACCCAAGAATTAAAACCAAGGACAACCCAGCAACAAAAACAAAAATGAGAACACACTTAAGCAAGACACAAAGACAGACTTGCAGTTCACCAAAGGCAAACAGTAGGGCAAATGAGGATGAAAAGTCTGATAGTGAATGACCAGGTCACCCTGAACTCAAAGCACAGGAAGTAACAAAACAGACCAATCAGGCTCTAGAAAAATTCAAAACAGAAATAATTTCCCAGATAACCATAAAGAT